TTTTCAGTGCACAAAATATTTTAAGGCTTACACGGACTTTGATCTTTGTTAACAGTTCCTAGGACTTCTAGGGAATGTTAATACAGATTAATGTCTCACTTACAAATTAAGTAATTAATTAATCTACTCCCACTTTAAGCACCTCTATGTTTCCATGGCAGATGGAATACATTGACTAGGATTTTGAAGGCACAGATGCCAACCTTGAAATATGAAAAAACAGGAGACTCTCAAGCAATACCCTAGATCTTCCTGAATAATTTTCTGCTGTATAACACCACCATTTCAAAAAAATCACAAATTGACTCAAATTCCCTTTTTAATGCATGATTTTGGTTAAACTATTTATAATATGATCCTGATGTAAAATATATTAATACTTAATTAAATATTCTAAATTTGGTTAATTCTATTTTAGAATTTTCTTAACTTTTACACTGAGAATATCTCTAAAAGTTTTTATTATCAATACATTTAACTCCTGGGCCGCGAAGAGACAAGTCGCCAGAACAACCCGATGGAAATCGCCTTCAGATTCAGCAGTTATGCATTTACAAAATTATCAATCGATATTACAGTGGTACCTCGACATACGAGTTTAATTCGTTTCGTAACCTTGCTCTATGTCAAATTGCTCGTATCTCAAAGCAATTTTCCCCATTGAAAGTAATCGAAATGCCATTAATCCGTTCCAGCTCCCAAAACACGACCTCAGCTGTTTTTTTAAGTGTTTTTGAATAAGAAAAATGTAGTTTCTTATTCAAAAACAAGAAGAAACATTTATTTATAAATAACAAATACATATTCTATAAAAACATAATTAAAAGAAAAAGTGAAGTGCCTACGGAAGCGCTTAATTTTTGTCACTGGTCTTCGCTCTTTTTGTCATGATCTGCTCATTTTCACCCGCAGATCGTTTAAAAAAACTGTCCAAGGAGGTTTGTTTCTTCCTACCTGTCAAGGTATTGCGGAATCGAGTTAGGCAAGTTTCGTTGAACAACTCCGATTTAGGACTAGTTGCAACTTTTTCGCGGTGATTTTTATCCACGAACTCTACAACTTTATCCCACATTCTCAAGATCTGTTTTATATCTCTTGTAGGGATAACCTCCTCCATCTCTGGCTCCTCTTCAAAACTAATTTTTCGTTGAACCACCGTATGCTGCTGCAAATGCAGATCGTGTAACTCCTCGGTTGTCAGCTCCTGAGACTGTTCCTCGACGAGTTCGTTCACATCTCTCTCCTCCACCTCCAGACTCATGGATTTTCCCAGAGAAACAAGCTCCTCTACCACTGACACTTTGGGTTCCAATCCTTCGAATGCCCTTTCAGCTACAGCCTCAGGCCACAGCTTCTTCCATGCAGAGGTTAAGGTCATTGGTGAAAGGTTAGGCTGCCACGACCCACTGTGGCCAGCTCGGTCAAGGCATGTGTGTGTGCGTTCTCGCTAATTCTCTCATTCAAAGAAAATACGTAGCTCGGCGGCCGTATTCAAAACACTCGTATATAGAGGTACCACTGTAATGACCTCAATGTCTGAAGTTATGTACTTAATATACTATTTCTTAATATGTATTAATATAAAGAATATCACAGTAATACAATTAAATGAAAATGCAAAATACTAAAATAACTATATGCACGAAACCAAATACTATACACATGAAGCAAAATTGCAAATGCAAAATATAAAAGAAAATTAAGTAATAATTATCTGTAGGTAATTAAATTCCAATTTAATAATTTTATTATGTGTGGAATAATTCAACATTAGGATCAACACATAGGGCAATGGTGTCTTTTTTCTATGAGCAAGTAAGATACATCACACATCGGGAAAGCTAATGCCCTTTTCCTTCTATAATAGTGCTGTGAAGTTACTTTTTAATTAACAAAGAAAGTCTATGTTAATTTTTAAAATAAATATAAAAAAATCTTAAAGGTTTCAGATTTTAAATTATGTTCAAAGGGGCATTTTTTTAACGTTTTGTGTGTTATCTTTATTTATTAAATATCATATTCTACATACTCAAACTATAAAACTCAGTTCAACAGCAATATCGCAAATTAATTCTTAAATGTGCATATCTTTAGAATTTCCGATACACGGTTTCACGCACTGGAGATAAAAAGGTCCCCCCCCCATAGAGTGTTGCTATTGCTCACTTTTAAATCGTCGAGTTTGTTAATCAAAATATCGTTAAAGTTTTACAAAATATGAAATCTATAATAAAACAAATTTCAAATTTGGCCTTCCACATGGCCATATTCGTAGGAGGATTACATCATTCAAAATTCAATGGCTCTATGTACCGTTGTTTTATCACAATGCGAGAAATATACATACATTTACACTCACTTCCAAAGTTAAGCACAGAGAGGAAAATACTAATTTCCGGAAGCCAATCAGAGTCGAAGAGGCTGCAATTCGCTGCAGAGGTAGATGAAAGTATGCAAATATGTTACGTAACAGCCAATTGCGCTTTCATGTCAAGAAATATGCAAAAAAGACAGTCTTATAAGAAGCCAGCTTTATGAAGGGTTACAGAAATTGATTGTAAGTGCGGATAGAAGGTGTTTAAAACTTTCATACAATTTGTTTTCAAGACATATGTGTTTCTATGACTTCCAGAAGACGAATGGAAGATTCTGAGCACTGGCGTGCTGTGGGGCACATTGAAGCAGGTCAGTTGATTACAGATGTTGGTCTTTTCTTCGGCATTCATCATTCTGTAATTTCAAGGTTATGGAAACAATTCCAAACCACACAGACAGGAAGGCCCATTGTCCGAAAGCCTGTAGCTCGTCGCCCAAGGCTTACAACCCCCGCGGAAGATCGATATATTGCCATTGTAGCCAAGCAGAATCGCAGAGTGACCTCCACACGTGTGACATCTATGGTTACAGTGTCCATTGGTAAGGTGATATCTGCAGCTACTGTACGCCGAAGATTACATATGAGTGGACTGTATGCCCAGGTACCTCGAGTTTGTGTTCCTCTATCCGTCCAATCAAGAGGAGCACAATTACAGTGGTGCCGCGAACATGTCAATTCGAATGTGTCTGACTAGGGCAATGTCATGTTTACTGATGAGTCAAGATTTGCTGTGGAGCCAGATGACAAGCGTATAAGGATATGTCGTGAACAACGACACGCAATCAGTCCCAAAACATCACGCATTCCGAGGCGGAAGCATTATGGTGTGCGCAGGGATTTCATTAGGATACCGCACCGACCTGCACATCTTTAAACGGGGTTCTTTGACGGCTGTCGGGTATTGAGATGAAGTCCTAGAACCCATTGTGAGATTGTACACTGCAGCAGTTGGCCCTACTTTTGTTTTAATGGGTGATAACACACAATCCCATAGAGCTGACATCGTCGATGACTACCTGGAGAGTGAAGGGATTGCGCGTATGGCATGGCCAGCATATTCGCCTGACCTTAATCCCATTGAAAATCTTTGGGATGCTCTCAGCTGTGCTGTATCTTCATGTTCCCACCTCCAGCCACTCTTATTGAGCTGGAAACTGCTCTACAAGAAGAATGGCGATGGCTTAATTCTGCGGTGGTTGACCACCTAACTGAAAGCATGGTCACAAAGTGTAAACTTTGTATACAGATGAGGGGGGATCACATACCCTATTAATGTCCTTTTTTTCCATTTTATGCTGTTTATTTTTACTTTATACATAATTCTGTTTAAGTCTCCAGTACGTCATTATCTGATAACTTACAAAAATTTAATATCGTTTTTATTTCTGTACATAATTATTGATTTTGTTTTATGCATAAATATATATGCTACTTTCCTGTTTCAGCCACATGATAAAAATTGAAAAATTAATTTTTGGGAAGTAGTGGTCATGCAAGAAGATAATTGAATTACTGACTAAAGTTTAATATAATTAAGGCTTAAATTTCTTTACATGTATTTATTTATATATATTCTTTACATATTTAAGTTTTAAATGAAGTGCCGTGAAACATTTTGGATGATGTAATTCGAGTGAATTATGACATAGAGAAAATATATTTGCTTATATATTAAACAGAAACTGATAATCATACACGAAGGACAAAAGCCACATGAAAAACGATGTGAAAATTGTTACCATTTAGCATCATCTACTGGCATTAAAAAAAAAAATTTTTTTTTTAAATTGTTTTGTTTTCAAGTTACGCATATGCGACGCTGGGCTGAAGAGATTGTTCAGAGCTCTTCACATATAAGCGACGCTGGCCTGGTAAGAGTGGAATCGTTGCATTGTGGCTAAGTGACGTTGGTCCTTGAATGGGTTAACTAAGATGAAAGTAAAATGTCAATTCATCATGTGGCTGAAACTTAATAATGTTGTATTTATTGATGTTGAAAAAATTACATAAACATTTACTGATTAAACACTGGTTGAATCTTTACAAAAAAGTTCAACGAATGTCTACAGTAGATTAAGGATAAAATTTAATATAAAATTATAATGGAAATAAATCACTAGGAGTGGGGGATGAAATATGCATAATTTCAGGTTTCAATAAATTTGATTTATTGTTGGAAAACATTTTCCCTAGTAGTTATTCTAATTAAAGGCTAAAGATTTAAATCTAGAAGATTCAGTAATCTACCAGTAGACTGGGAGATGTGACAAAAAGCCAGAAGTCCCCTGGTAAAACCAACAGAGTTGGCAGGTACGTGAAGGTTTGAATGAATAATCTTGAAACACAAAGAATAGCTATCTGACTGGTCACTCTTGTGAAAGAGGAATCCTTCCTAAAGTCAGAGTGTAAGTTGAAACTGATGGAAGTGGATAGTCTAAATCAAATTCTAAAAATGCTCAGGAAAAAAAGAAAGGGAGAGAAATAAATTAGTAAATACACCGGTATTTATTTTGTTGAAAAATATTTACTGGAAGATAATTTAATTTAGAAGACATTAATACTGAATAACAACTACAAATCTAAAAAGGGAAAGAATTAAAAATATATTTAATAAATATCATACCTGATGGATGATATCCAGGCATTTTAGGCCCCGCCCCATAAAACTGCAATTTCTTCAACTCATTGTTGGTGGAATAATCAATGCCATCCTTAAAATTCAAAGAATGCTTTTAGACATTTTAAAAACAGTTTTATAGCTTTCAGAAAAAGATACTCATATTAAAATTATATACATGCATATATTTTCTGAAAATATATGTATATCTTGGTATATAAGCAAATATATTTTCTCTATGTAATAATTCACTCGAATTACGTCATCCAAAATGTTTCACGGCACTTCATTTAAAACTTAAATATGTAAAGAATATATATAAACAAATACACGTAAAGAAATTTAAGCCTTAATTATATTAAACTTTAGTCAGTAATTCAATTATCTTTCTGCATGACCACTACTTCCCAAAAATTAATTTTTCAATTTTTAGTTTCCATAATGAACTAAAAATTTTAAAGCTGCCTTAAACTAATTTTTGACAATTTGAAAAATTAACTTTTTGCCAAAAAAGAAATTGTTACATATAAATGGTTATCTAAAGATGCAAAATCAAATCAACATATTGGATGAGGTAAAACTTCATAAACCTAGCTGCAAAAGACATTTACAAATGATGGAAATACTTTCACTACTTTAAAACAGTAAAAGAGGTTAGATTTCAGACATATCATCTAGCTGTATTATCTACTTATCTACAGAAAAAAAAAATTATATCATGTATATAATCTTAAATGATATAATTTCATATATCATCAAATAACATGATGATCAAGTTACACTGATGAATTACAGACACTATAAAAACTATCGTCTTTTTTTTTTTTTTTTTTTTTTTTTTTTTTTTTTTTAGGGCTAGATATTGTGTGGCAAGATTTAGATCACAATATGAGCATTTGCCCAGGCACACGTGGTTCCTAAATCAAATGTTTATGTCCTAAAATGATTTTTAAAAAAAAATTGCTTTTTTGTTAGACATAACATGGATAATTAATATTCAAACTAATCTTTTAATTCGGCAGCACCCTGCTTATTAAATAATATTATATATGTTATTATTTAATATGGATTATTATTCTTTGTTGGACAAGAAATATGATTTTAATGCAAAAATAAAGTATAACATTATATCTACAATTCAAAACATATTAAAGATCATATGATAATTTCACCTTCAAAATACAAAATTTTCCAAACAAGCTAAAACTGTTGCACACCAATTGCCCCACATTATGACACCCTATATACACTTAATGTGATCTTTGAAATATTCTGAAAAATAACTGACCGATAAAGTGAAGAATTTATCCTGCAATAATTAACAGAAATATTTTTGTATTAAGATTCATCATATGATGTATTCTAGATATTCTCTGCCCCCCCCCCGATGTTTGAAAATGTTTTAATGTCTTTATTCAACCACTGAATTTAAAATTCCACTTCAGTTTAAAAAAAAAAAAAAAAAAAAACCTCTTTTTATTATTATAATGAAATTTTTTTGTGCGTATTTATTAAATTGATAAAAGGTCTTTTAAACATCTACACAAATGAAAACTGATTAAAGCTTAAATTTTTTCCTTTCTGCCTATTAATACAGATTTTTTGGCATGATTTAGTTACCCAATTTACTGCATAGTACTCAAGCTCTAATTATCCCATTCTCAAACCAATTTTCTCTTACAATTAATTTTGATCTTTTATTACAACCTACAAAATGTCCAAATTTACATTTATTGTGCGATTTTTGAAATTCTGCATACCATACTTTCTTCTTTTAAGTTTCAATGTATGAGTTTTGATACGATTTTACACCCAAAAAACTCCTTCAGTACATAATTAAAAGTTCTATTACTGATTTCTTTCTTCCTTGCTGGGCAAGAAATTTTATTTTGAGTGGGAATAAAGTGGAACATTACGTCTACAATTCAAAATATATTATTTAATTAAAGATTATACGATAATTTCACCTTCAATATACAAAAGTTTCCAAACAAACTAAACTGTTGCACACCGACCACTCCCTCTTCAAGAAACAGTGAAAAATTACGCTACACTAAAGCACATTAATATCACTTAATTTTTCTACCATTACGCTAATAACAACAAAATATTAAAAATATGCTTCATTTCACTTGGCACTGACTAATTTTATTTCCTGAATTTTGCTCTAGATTTTGATTTCATGTCTCATTGGCAGAAATAAAATGTGAATAATCACATCATTATACTTAATCAATGTAATAGTCAAAAGAACGACTAAATTCTGATAATTTTATTTGATTTTAAAAGCCAAGACTTATTTATTTCTACACTTTACAATTGATGAGTGATTTTTCTCTGATAACAAACATTTATTAGAACAGCTAATGCTGTCAAAAAACTCCAAAAACAGTTTCTGTAAGTATTCTAATTCAATTCAGATGCATATTTGAAAGACCTCAACAATTTTTACCGCAGTAATCAAAATAGAACTCACTAGATTTTCTTCGGTTTCTTTTCCACACCTTTTAGAACGGCGAGCATAGCGATCAACAGGAGGCCTTATTGCCTGGCGAGATGGTATGCCATGTGGGATGTAATCCTTATCCCGTTTTTCGGAATCATCCGAGTCTTCATTTAAATTCTAGAAGGAGGAAACATTATTTATCACCTTGTCATGTCAGCAATATCATACTCGCCACTTATCAGAGAAAATAGGTTTCATCAATTTTAAAGTGAAAAAAGGTGACAAATACCAAATATTTCAAACTAACATTATTGTGAATGCACGCAATCATATCACAACTGAATCTTAGTGGTGAGCAAACTGCATATGTCTCATGGATTGTGCAAATGCTCATGATTAATGGTTCAGTTGGTGAATGCATGTATCTATGGAGGATGCATGTGTCTGGATTTGACTACAACCAGGACCAACTCAATGGTATCAACCCAAATAAACTCCAACAAAGAGCAGACAGTTCTTCCACCATCTTAGTCTGTATATGTTTTATCTCAAACAGGATAGGTACAGTGTGAAGGAAGCATCCATTAAATGTCACATATGAAGGAAGTAGTCGATGTCAAGCATGCGAATCGCATGTTAAATATAAATTGTTAATAGATAGTAACAGATCAGGTGGTAAGAGAATCTCTCTGTTAATTGCTGGTTTGATCCCAATCTGGGCTCCAGATCTTTATTATAGGATTTTAAAAAGAGGAAAGAAAGAGAGAGAGAAAGATAGGAAATGAAAGAAGGTCAAAGTTTGAATTTTTTTTTTTTTTTTTTAAATCAGGAAGAGAAAATGTATTCAAAGTTATAATGATTTTTATGCATTCAGAAATCGAAAGAAATTGCACTTCTTGATAATATATATATAAAACAAACAAAAAATGGAACAATTTTTAGATTATTTTTAATTTCATTATACTGTTTTTATATATATTACAAAGGCTGGTTAAAAAAGTGATGACCAATCAATCTATTGTAACTCGATAAAGATAAGCAAGCACTAAAGAAATGAAATTCTGTTGATACAAGCATTGGTCTTATATATCCACCTGCTTTACTGCAATACAGCCAATCATGACAAAAATGCACATCCATTCCACTCAGCTTTTTACTCAGGATCAAAATACCAGGTTTCATCACACGTGATGACCCCATGAAAGTAAGAAATCCCGCAGATCATCATACACATTCTTCCTGATTTACACCATCTCCCTCATCAAGAGCTGTGTAACGCAGCAAAAGCAAATTTTTCATGTCAGCTGTTTTTATGCATCAATGATTTTATCTAATTGCTGGATTAGTATTAACATAGCCCCTTGATCCATCTTATGTTCATAAACATCTGTCATTCTGAATGAGCTCTTAAATGATCAATACATTCATCAAGTATTGACAACTATAGCTGGTTTCCTTGGATATTGCTATCACACTGCCAAAACCTCTAAAACCATCAACACATACATAATTTCAATTCACTACTGTTCGATTGATTGTGCAGACTAGAAACAACTTAAGTGTGCAACAATGCCACTGAGTTATCCCTGGATTTGTAGGAGAATTTGATGTCACACTGATCATTCATGGTGGCTTACTTGGAGAAATAGAAAAAATTAGGCACAGGTAAAATGTTAATGACCAATGCTTTTACTTAAAAAAATTGTATTTATATAGTGCTTACCATTACTAAGCTACAGAAAACTGTGTATTGCTTTTTGGCCAGCCTTTGTATTCTTATTTTAACACTTTACATGTTTTATTTTAATATAAATTAAAATGCATGCCATTTGGTTATATTAACCAACAAGCTTTGGCACAAAAACAATCAAATTTCAAAAATACCAACATCCAACTGTGTACAATTTTAAAATATAAAATTTTTTAGTGTGTTTGATAAAGCAAATTATATAAATGTTCATGTCAGCTACAATGAAATTCCCTTATTCCCTTATTTTATTAAGTTACCTCATGCTATAATATTAGTTAACAATTCAAAAAATTCTCTGGAAGTATTAGTATGGAATATCACTGTCAGTTTAATGCTGCAGTTGTTTTTCTTGCAGATGCAAAGCACTTTTTCATTTATAATACAAAAGGAAGCTACTTTAATAGTGCAGATGTTCTTTTGAGGGAGGTGTAATGTCCAGGATGGCAAAAAGAGCACTGTCCCGGAGGACAGGGGGGGGGGGAGCACTGCATTTTTATTACATTCAGAGCTAATCTAAACCATAAAATACTGGGTGGAGGGTGAAATTTTTATTTAAATATTAGATACCCCCTTTCCAATTCTGATATAACAGAATTACAAAGAAAATTTTCACAGTAGAACCATGCAGTTTTACAGCTTGCATGAAAAATTAAGAAAAAATTGAAAATGCAAGAATGCATTTAAATTACTTTTGTATTGTCAACCTAAATAAAGCAATATCTTTTCTTTCATTTCTTAACAATAAAATATTTTGTTAATGTTCATAATGATATTTTTATGCAAAAAGAGCACATGTGATTTGATACAAAATTTGTATATTGTATTAATTTTTTCAGCATGCTAATCTTAATTTTACAAATCATTGTGATATTCGTAAAGTAAATATAACACTGTTTTAGGTCAAACTTTCCCAAACTTTGGAAAATATGAAGTCAATTTTCTTCACAAATAATCTTTGATCTTTTCTAAATATTTTACCAATACTTACCAAGGATCCATACCATGATTTTTGTAAGTTATTATAACAGGTAATTTTAAAACAAGTTTTACTTGTGTCATATTATGCAATCAGCAGTAATTTGTCATAAAAAAGGTGTTTCGCTTTGTGCCATATTTCTTATTCTAGTAAATTAATGTTATGGATTAGAATTTAATTTTTTTAATAAACCAGGAATTCAGTTTCATATCATAATTATGTTCTTTATAATTATACAAGACATCAAAAAAAGAAGTATATAACTTTAATTCTGCTCACAAGAAAAACTAAGGTAATTAATCTGCTTTCATAAGCACAAACTGCAACTATAAATGTTTGTAGATTCTGAAGATGGATAATACTAAATATATCTTAGAACATAATAAATACCACAACGAAAAAGTAAAGGCATTTTTAATATTGCTATTTGGGTTATATATCTCTCCTCCAGATATTATGCCTTATGATTATTTTCCTTGGAGGTTTATTGAGAAAAAGTCTACAAAACAAATGTGTTGTCTCTTTCAAAGTTCAGAGAATTCATTACTACAGCTTATTTGACAGAAACTTACGTCCTTTACATTATCTCCTAATAGTTTATATCACAGAAAAAACAATGCTCCTGTATTAAAAGGAATATATCTGCTGCATTATCAAATGTTTACTATATTTGCATTTCATTTGATTGTTATTACTTTTGAGGGGGGTAGTTGGCCAAAATGGCACTTTTTACACAAATGTTGTACAAGCTACTCCCATCATGCTAAAATAAAAAATTTGAAAATAAAACATGTTCCATTCAAAGATGATGGAACATGTTTCTTTCAAATGAAAAGAATTCTCCCATATGAACAAATCTAATAAAATGAATACCAAATGTGGTTACATGCCTCTTTCCAGATGATTTCAAAATGTAACATTCACCTTTAAATCAGAACCTGTTTGAGGATACTCCTTTTCTTCTGGCATACAGATTTATTTACCGCTGAATGAAAGAGCTGATATCTACTAAATGGTATGGAGATCATAGCTGATAAAATTGCAATCAATTGGAACGATGACTGTCATTATTCACAATGACAGATTTTTAGCCACCAGAAACTGATGAAGTAAAATTAATGTAACATCATAACTTGGTCATGTTCAAACTAACTTAAATACTTTGTTTGTAATCAATTAAATTAAATTTTCAGATGATATGACTTAAATTTCATTTTGGTGCATACTTTTGAGCAGCATTACTTGGGTAAAACTATCATCTTAAAAATCCATTGCCTCCTGCAAGTTCAATTTGGGATGTTTCATACACACCCAATTGGCAAAGTCTTGTTTGTTTACAGTTGAAATGTTGCAGTACAAGATGTTAACTTAATTTCACTTTGGTAGTTTGAATGTATTATTTAAATATAATTGAAACCCATACTGTAAAAATGTGACTTTTAATATCTTATGAAAAATGTAAAGAAAATGTGTCACAAAACAAATATACACAATCAGTGTGATAAATGCAGAACTGGGCTCTATACAGAACACATTATACAATGGCATAAAAGATAGTAACTGTAATGTTATCCATGTAACACAACCTGTAAACAAAAATGTGTAGTTCAACAATAATTGATTTTGGAATAAAAACATCTCAATCACAGAAAAAGAACTTATTTTTATATATACTACTGACAAGTCTTTTAAAAATTGTTATACCATATCACAGTTTTTCTTGTGAACAACATGAAATCATACATTTCTATTACAGACTTCTTGAATTGTTTCATTGCTTAAGTTCCATTGTCAGTGATATCAAATTACAGACACTATTCCAGTAAATAATGTTCTAAACAACTATTTGAAAACCACCCAGAACTGCAATCCTATTTTTTGAATTACCAACTTTTGTAACTAGATATTAATATTTTTTTTTCTTTTTTAAACTTCTAAAAAGTTTTCACAGTTAATTAGTTTCATTATCTTACATTAATACAAAACAATTCAATTCATTGAACATTGTATTCAATAAAGAATACAATGACTTAACAATTCCTCCTACATTAATTCTTCAAAATTATAACTTCAGATCAAAGTATACCTGTTAAGAACATATTAAATGGCTGCTTTTAATAATGGACTTGAATGCACAACTACGGAAATAACTGAAAGATAAAAACTGAAACAAATATACTTAAAACATAAAATATTAAAAAGCTAAGGAAAAAGACCTGTTTTTAGAATACATGCACTTTTTAACTATGCTTATAAATAATTTTTTAGAACACATGCACAAAGAACTAGCACAGATGTTATTACATAAAATAATCCAACAGAAATATTAATATACAAGCTTTGAAAGAAAGATGAAAAAAAAATATATAGATATACTCCTAATAAAGTAAAGCATACTCTGTTGCAGGAAATATAACGCAAAACATTACAGAAAATATTAAAAAGACAACACATACATGCAAATTTATCTTTAAGGCATACATAACAAATATTCATAAAAACGGAATAAGATCAAAGCAAAATAATAAATGCTTTTGAGTTAGACAACAGAAAGCAAAAGGCCACAAAAATGTTTTAAAATAAATTAATAATTTATTACTATGCACATTAAAATTTATAAGAAAATACTTACAATGTCACCAAGACTTGCTCCACTTTGGAACACATCATATGGATATAATATCCGTTCATAATGCTGGCGCAATAATGAACCAACACCTCTGCCTGGAGGATAACCCATACGAGTAGCTATCCGAGACCACTTTCGTTCACGAGAAACAACATCCATTCCACCTTCCTCCTGTACCACCTGATAATAATTAAAAATTATTTTAACAAAACTCTTTTTCAATTAAAATTTACAACTACAGAGAGTATTTCCTCACTTGCACAATTAAAACTTTTCTAATATACAATACTACATATTTTTATTTCTCATCAGTCTCTTTATAAGAATTTTAAATTCATTTTTATCACAAGGGAAGTGTATCAGTCTCGAAACATCATACTGCATCAAATCACTATAAATGGCTGTATCACTTTTCAAATTGTTGCCATTGAATATTATCAGCCTGTATTATATTTAAAGAAATTAAATAATGAAGAATCTGCATGAATCTATGTATGTTTCTCTCACTGTAAAGAAAAACAATGACACCTACAGCCATCAAATTTTGAATAACGTAGTCCTCCATGTGAATATGGGCCCCTGAGTATAAGCTTGAATTTTGAATTGTTTTATTATCTATTTCATAATTTTAAAACTTTAATGAATTTTTTATTAAGAAACTCAATGATTCTAAAGCGAGTAATGGTAACACAATGTATGGAATGCAATATTTTTATCTCTAGTGCATGAGGCTGTCTATCAGAAATTCTAAAGATGGGCTGTTTTTAAATAATTTTAGCCCAAATGCTCTCGATAGGTGTATGTACGTGCAAACGAAAAAAAATGCCCCTTTAAGTGTAATACAAAATCTGAAAGCTTTTACAATTATTTTATTATTTATTTCATATTTTGTAAAACTTTAATGAATTTTTCAAGTTAACAACTAAAAGAGTTGATCATAGCTTAAATTTAAGACAATGACATGATAAGTTAAATCTAAACTCTAAATCATGCAACAAAGTTGCAGGATTGTTTGTTACATGATTTAGCAACTCTGCTAAATCATACAACAAAGGGGGTAGAGAAAAAAGTAATCACATCAAGGAAACAAGAAAAACTTCACTGAATTTAACACCGTGTGAACTTTTTTTTTTTAGTGGGGCTATGTAAAAACTTTATTTTCATATTCCCTTTTCTGCATGATTTAGCAGAAGTTCATGAAAGGATCACACATGCTGTCAATACCATTAACAGTACTATGTTGAATACAGTCTGGTAGGAATCGGACTACTGTAATGATGTATGCAATGTGACCAAGGATTCACACACAGAACACCTGTAAGGGCTGTAAATAAAATTTGAATTGTTTCTGTATTTAGTGCAATGTTCTTTTTTGCTGCATTTGTCTCTTTTAGCCTTCTGAAACCACGTAAGGAATTATGAACTCACTGTGAACAGAATTTAATTAATTTTGGTAAACTGAAATTTCAAACTGCATGAAGACTAATATAGTACAATGCAATATATGAGCATTATTTAACTAACAGAAAAACTTCCAAAATGAGGTTGTTTGGTTTCCTCCTATTTATATGTATAATAATGCAGAGAAAATTACCTGCAATTTTTGAGATAATAAAGAATGTCACTAAATTGGACTTTGTTAATTCTTATTCAATCAGCACTCTACACTGAAATATTTAAACTGACAGAAAAGATTGAGAAAAATAGTCTTGTGATATTTATTAGGAAGTCTTGATGCTCTTTTATTCATATTGATTGCAATCTAGTTTACTATACTACTCTTCATCAGACGGTTTAATATTTTTGTCGATATGGATGAAAATTCAGTTTAGCCGATAAATACTGTGGAATTTTATGCACTAATTACAGACTTCAGAAAGAGTACTAAATAAATATGTCTTTCCCATATGTATTCAAACATGACTTCATCTTGAACAATATTTAAAAAGCAAGCTGCTACAGCTCACAAAATTCAAAGTGTTTCTTTTATTAATTTTATTACAATATAAATTATATTGTTTTGTTGCAGCTAAACTGCACAGTACTAATGCTTAATGCTGTCCTAAAACACTTACTTACATCACAATATGCAGGCAAATTGAAGATGCTAAAATAAAGAATCAACAGTACTTATTTTTTTCCCACACAGTAAGAAAGATTGCAGTATCATCATTTGCATTAACATAAGTTATACAGAAAAATCACTAATCACTCTAAGAAAGAAAGCTTTGTAAAGATAAATGGGGCCAGACTAATTATACACTGTTCTTTATAAATTTAAATTAAAGCAATCACAGCTACGGCAGCCAAGAACATAAAAACAATACAGCCAAAAATACAAGAAAGAGACAGCAAGCCTCATGTAGATATTAAAAACTATCATTATTTAGATGATATAAAAAACTTCATTAAGAAGATATTAACGGTCAAAATCAATAATGTTTTTACTCTCTTCCTTTATGAATCGTAGTGAATTGAATAACACAGAATTAGATTCACATGAAGTAGTGGGAAAAAAATTGAACAATCCAACTGAATGAATATACCATGCAGCCATCCACTAGTAAACTGAAGTTAACTATTATTAAAAGTTCTCCAAAGAACAGGTATGATATTGTTTCTTTCAAAGTATTTTCTCCCAAAGTGGAGGGGGAAAAATATTTAATCCTCTGGTACTAACAGACAGCTCAAGCCTACATTGAATTATGGAAAACCTGCATAAATCCACCTAGCTGATTAGAACTATTTATACATAAAGAAAAATAAGCAAATTCTATTCACAAAATAGGTATCTTTGTCCAGTGTACACAAGCCAAATTGCTTCAGTCTGGAAATAATCCACTGCTCATGGATTAACATTCTAAGAGTTAATTCATAAAAATGTATTGCATTAAATGAATTAAGGCTGAATACAACAGCACTAGAAGTACTCTATAATTTTCTGCATTAAGATGGATATTGCTTTGCATCTGAAATGTTTTCATGACATATTTCAGCACTGATTTCTGCCTAAATGAAAGCAAAAACGTAAAAGTTTGATAAAGTTTCATCAAACTTGTTTAACTAGTGAATTAAATATATTTTAAAATAATTATGAGAAATTTAAGTTTCCAAAAAGTATGAATTTTGATAAATTCACAGCACAAAAAAAATGAAAAAAAAAAAAAAAAACACTTCAGCATCAATTTAAGCATTTAAAAATAATAAATATCCACAACTCTGAATCACTAATTATTGCATGTATTAAAGGGAAAAGATTATGTTAATAAATACAGTACAGTGCTTTCCTTTTCAAAAAATCAGCCTCTAACTTTCTGCAATGTTACGGAAAATGAATGTCATTTATAAAAGCAATTGTGAGGCCAAAAAGTGACATTTCCAGTTGTTTCTACTTATCCTCTCAGAAGGATTTTCAGATAGAGAGATTTTGAGTATTCCCATTTTACAAATACACTGCAGTCACCGATATCTACAGGGTTTGTCCATAAAGTAATCAGATTGGGTTTGGTAAAAAGAATTGATTGATCTGATCGGTACATATTGTTAAAATTCTTCAAAATGGTCTTTTTGGGCATCAAGGTACCACTGCTAACATGATTCCCATGCTGCAAAGGCTCCTTGTCAACTCCCATAAACTCTTTCAGAGATTCTGTGACAGCCCAATAGATGGCAGAAACATCTTTGAAATGTTAACTTTTCACACTTCTCTTAACTTTGGGAACAGGAAAGACTTTGTTGAGCTCAAACTGGAACTGTAAACTGGCTGTGGCAAGGTTGAAACCTCTATGTGGACCAGCTATATGGTCATAATGAAGGCTGTGTGAGCTGGAACATTGTTATGTTGAAGTGACAGTGACAGGCAATCTCCGCTTGTTTCCATTCAATGGATCTATGCAGGCATGCAAAGACTTGTTTGTAGAAAACAGCACTGTCGGTTGTCCTGGAGGTACAAATTCTTTAAAGACCACTCCCCAACTGTCAAAAAAGACAATGAACATTGTCTTTACTTTGGACTTCGGCATTATCATTTTCTTGAGGCATGGGGAGTTCAGAGTGTGCCACTTCACTTTCAAATTTTGGAGCTTGGTTTCGGGGTCATAATGGAACACCCCCAATTCGCTGGCCGGTTATTATGCCAACTACAAAAATGTCCAGTTCACCTTCTAACTGCTCCAACATTGCACTGGAAACTTTAAATCATCATTATTCTTTTGCATCGCCAATACTTTTGCACAAACCTTCCGCATGTTAAAATTCTTACAAATAATTTTGTACACACTGAACTCTTAAGCAATTAATCTTACACTCAAACAACGGTCAGAGTCTAGAAAAATTTTTTATTTTAGCCACATTTTTGTCTAAACCATCGTTCCATGTCTTCGATGGTATCCCGTCCATTCTTGAACTTTCTGAACCATCAGAAAATGTGGCCTTTGATAGGGCGTCACCTTTGCAAGCCTCCTCAACCAATGCAAGCACATCAAAAGCAATTTTGCCCAGGTGAAAGCAAAATTTAATTGTGTAACTAACACAGCTCCAGCAAATGCTCCATTTCTGACATTTTCTGCTGTGACCAAAAACTCAAAAACAACTTTTGCAATATGTGTGATCCTCACTGCATCAGAGGTCAGACGTGACTGCTGCCATGCTTAGCTTAGACCCCCATAGCATACTGCTGGCAACTGGTGTGCCACATGGCGCTCAGTCTCCTGTATTCTGGTCCAAGTTTCAAACCTGGGACCAATAGCATGTTCAGTCAGCCTCTTCTAACCATCAAACTGTTAATGTTGGCTCCAAAGTGAATGAAAGAATAAATTATGCACCTACTACAGTCATGAAAGAGATGTGAATCCTATATAATAATAACAGATATCCTGCTTAATAGTTAGTAACAGATAAAATATTATGGAAAATGGAAGGCTAAGTATATAGCTACCATTCTAAAAAAAGTATGATTTTGTAGATATACCTGAACATCATCCTTCATTCTTTCCACCATATGCGTGTACCACAGTATACACATTATATAGAGACGTTATACAGAAATTCATAAAAATATATATATGAAAAAGACATAGATTAACAGATGTGTCTTTTTCTTTTAGATTTCTGCTAATTAAAGATAACTTTTCAAGACAATCATATGCTAAGTTATACAAAAAAATTAACCATTTAGAAATAAGACTCTGCCATACACTGCTTAGTCTTCAGGACTTCCATCAATAGAGTATTAATTTTTTCAATGCCAGACTGTTTTATGGACGAAGAACAGACAATATTTTAAGATTTTCAATAATAATTTAACTTTACAGATTTAAAACAAAGAAAGAACCTTCATTTAGTTTTTATTAGGCGACTGAAAATGTTATGGCTTCTAAAGATTAAGTGTAACCGGAAACTGATATAAATAACCTGCTGCCAGGATGACAGATATTATTGATACCATTGACAACTATTTTGATTGATCAGGTATTGAGCTTCTTTTATTTTTACTGCAAAAATGAAATTGTTTACTTCATCTATAATCATCGATTGCTACTACAAAGTCAACACCTGCTGCTACATCCAAAATCATGAAACATTATCCAACTGCATCAGTCTAAAATTTAATATTTTATGTAAATTAACCTTTATTGTAATATACTTTAGTTTTTTAACCTATTTTTCTTAATTAGAAAACAATCACTTACTCTAATTCTCATATAACATTTCTCATGTCAGAAAATTATGAAATACTTAATACATGTTCATGCAAAATAATTAAAATGGTACAACAATGGTAGATATGAAATTTACTAGATTAATCAGCAGGTGGGCTAAAATTTAAAACCTCAAGGGAACACAAAAAATATAAATTTGATATGTATTTTTATAAAGTAATATTAATCTAATTTGAACGCCTTTCAGATCAAGTATTTGCTTATTTAATACTTACTCTATACAGAGTGAACAAATCAAGTGCTTTTCTTTCAACATTGGGAATTTTTAATGAAGAGCCCTGTAATAAAACCACAGTATATAATAAAATAACATAATTACAAAACACAATCCAAAGAAAAAAATTCAGACAGTCCTAGTCTTTCTTTTTAACTTCAACACATTTATTATTATTATTATTATTAATTATTATTATACATATCTGCAAATTGTACTTCCGAAGAAAAAAGAACACATATAAAGCAATGCGGAAGGGATAAAAAATAAAAACTGAAAAAATTTAATGCAGTATCTGCAAAGTGAGAATTCACAACACAAGAACTGTGCAAAAGTAAATTTAAAAAAAAATTTTCAAACAAGCTTGCTTAGCCATGCAGTTTTGACAAACAAGGTATTTCTAAAAAGAAAACTGAGTAGCTTGTTGCAAAAGTATTTAAATTTTAAAAATTTCCAAATTTTTGAATAAAACTGTCTATGATGTAGCATACATTTGTTAAAGGAAACTTTACAAAATAACTGCCTTACTTATAATATGAAACTAAATCAATATTAAATTTACAATAAAAAAATTTTTTTTTTTAAATTATCAGTATTTACCAACGGAAACACACTAATTTTACACATTATATCAGTGCTTCCCACTCTTTTCACACCAAAAACAAAATTAGGAGAAAGAACATTTATATGTCCCCCCTTTTAATAGTAAAGACTACGATAATATTATAAGAAATTACAGCAGTTTTATGGCATTAAAATTCTAAGCCATTCTGATGAAACTACACTTCATTCTCTCCTGGATTTAAAGTGAAGCAATTAAAATAACTGTGATGGCTGCTCAAGAGGCTAATGCCCATAGGAAACTACAAACAGGCAAGGAACCTGCACAGATGTCCCAGAACCACATCAGTAATTCATTAATTGGAGATTGATTGGATCAGCTAAGTCACCAGATACTGCCTTGAATTTTCAGGGCTTACAATATCCAAATATGACAGTATTTTTAAAAGAAAATAATATTTATATTCTAAGGAGATACTTGCAAGTCCCCCAACCCATGAATGTTGGTTCCAAAGCTGTTTAAATTGCCAGGGAAAATTTGCAATGAAAAATTATGCTTGAAACAGTTACAAAATTCAGGATATCAGATAATATGAAAGAGAAACTCCTGTAGAAGAGAGACTTTCTAACATAAAATCAATTTTCATTTACATTACACATAAAACTGCTGAAGACCAAATACACAGTGAACAGCCAACATTCTACAGCTTTAAGCACTCAAGTAGTTAGTTGGCTGAAATATGGATGAAACACTAATTCGAAATTGATGCTTGGTTATACTGAAGCAAAACAACTACAGATTACCAGACTTAGTGCTGGTGAAGGCCAGATTAACGTACCGGTGCATCAAACCCTTTCTTTCCTCAAGATTACTGATAAAATGTTACAAAAGCTCAAAGAAAACAGTTACAGATAAATGCAAGAATTTAGTGACAGGTGATGCTATGGCTCATATTTGCATTTCAAACGTTATTTTAATTCATTTGTTTTAGTATCAAGCCAGTACTTTGTCACAGCACTTTAGCTGGGAAGCACTGCATTAGACAATTATTCCATAGTGGGACACAAGAATGAATATATTTATTTTCCCCAACTGAATTTATTTTGAGTAAAAGGGACATATAAATTTTAGTTCTTTTAGACTGATGTCTTCAAAAAGTAAAATATTTCAATTGTTAAGATCACACAAAACTTTAAAGCTACCCAGTATTTTAATATAATTTAACTGAACACTGCTGTACTCAAATGCATTGAAGTGAAAATAAAACACAAGGGCTTTCTAAATTGAGACAACAAAATTCAAACAAAAATTTCACTGACCCTCAAATATGCCTTCACAGGTGAACCCTAAAAACAGAAATCACAAAATAAATTTCCTAAACTGTAAAATTCCTCAAAAGAATACACTGAGCATACAATGCAAACTAGGGGAAAAAAAGTATTTTAACTAATTGAATTGCAATGTATAAAAAGCAAACTATGCAAAATATACCAGTAAAATGTGATATACTTACCTGGAGCTCCCAAAATTTGGCAATCTGATCTAAAAAGTTTAATTTTATCCTTGTTGTGGCCTGAAAATGAAAATAAATAAATATATATTACAAATTTATTTTATAATACAATTATAACAGCTTTATTTAAAGCCAATTTTGCCACTGAGTTTTCAGACTGCAGTTTTAAATACAATAACACGTATAAAATTAACAATTTTAATGTAGTTAATTCTTTTATAGTTATGCTCAAAGCAATGCTAACCCAAAAATACGCAGAAAGCTGAAATGACTAGTTTATTCCTATTTTCAATGTACAGTAATCTCTCAATTATATATATTTTAATTACGCATCTCTCTCACTTAAACATCAGATTTTTGTGGTTTTAGCCAAAGATACAGGTGAAAATGAAACTTTATATCTGTTTACACATCTTAATTTGAAAGATATCAGTGACGAAAATTTTCATTTTACTCTTTATATGGAAATTCAGCATTAATGGTGGTTTCTTTTTATACTCTCCTTGTATTTCCCAACTTCAGTAACTGGTATTTTCTGCTCTAAGTTAAGGTAGGTGATTTAATACAGTGTTCGTGCACATTTTTGCGCACGAAAATTAAGTACTTTTAAGGGTTTTTAAGAACATTAATGAAAAAAATTAAGGGCATATGAGCAAATGGGAACTCAATAAATTCAATTAAAGATATTATCTATACCTGAACTTCACTTTTGTAATACCAACCAAAAAATAAAACAGATACGTAAGTAAGATTCATTATTATTGAACATAACTAACATCATTATTCCCTTATGATCCCTGACACATCCGTTTACTTTCTCCCCTTCCATAATTAACGTCAGTCTCTTGCTCTTGACCGCATTTGCACCATTTAAAAAACCCTATCAAAATTACAATCTAATAAAATTTCACAGTGTAAAATACATGTAATTTATGACATTGATTCTTAAAAGATATTAGCATATACATTAAAAGCTACAAAACATTTATGTTTTGAAGCAACAACACTCAACAAAATATTCATGCGTCTTTTTAATTTGAAGTCTGCGAGATATTCTGGCTAATTTATATTAATTTCCTTCTCTTAAAGCATCTTTTCTAACAATTAGAAATTTGTCTCAATACGCAAACCTATGTTCTCACTAGTTTCTGCATGCTTTATTTCCTAACTTGTCAACCTCTCCACAATGTACTTATGAGGGTTTACTTGACCTGGTAAAAGTTAAATAGTCCAAAACCCTCTACAAATGTGAAGCAGATTATCACTATGTCTGAAAGTAACTATAAAGTCAGACAAGGGTTTAAATAAGCTTCTTATTTAAAAAGAACTTAAAACATAAAGCCATGTTCTTATGCTAACAAAATCAATTGCAGCTCATGGTGATGTAATTAAAGAAGAATAGTCAAATTCAAAATAAAAATGCGGAGTAGTGGTCAAAGGTCAATTTAATTTTAATTTAAGCTGGCTCAATAACTCTATCCTCATAACAAATTCAAATGTTAGCAGTGATAATGCAAAGACCAAAAACATTACAAATTATCAGAGATCGCAGGAACTAATGCAGCGAGCAAGCGGAGGTCAGAAACACACTCTGTCTTATACTTGTAAGTTTTACTAACATTTATTTTATTTTAAATCTTTACTATCACTTCTCATTTTCTACTTCCGGCCAGAATTAAAAGCGTTAACTTATTTATGCAAAATTTGTCTGGCGAACGCCACGTACTTAAGTTGTGGCTTTTTGCCAAGCGAGAGAGAGGAAGGAGTTAGTCGAAGCAGGCCGCTTACCTTAGAAGTTTTTACTCAGTTGCTGGTTGCCTTCCAGGCCAGAGGTTTTAATCCTCGTGATAATTTTTAAACGTATTGTAGTGTTAACAGTTCTCTGTACTACATACGGCTTCCTGTTAATATAAGGCCAATCTTCCACGTTTATTATTCCAAAGTTAAGTTAGAGTTTAGTTAAATATTTTTATATTCTTACGTTTAGACCACAAGTAGTGGGTCTTTGTATTCCGAAGTACGGAAATTATTGTAAAGAGAGAAAAATAAAGGGTTTTGTATACCTTTCTTGTGTATCCTGTCTACTTCCCACAGTTATTGAACATAGCTTTAGTAAGCTCTCTGTTCCGAGTCAGGTCCTTGCATATTCCCGAAGAAAGTAAGACGGAACATTGAACCTGATAGTGGCGCCCAACGAAGAAGAATAACCATGGCCGAGTTTCAAGAAGAACCTGTGCTGCCTGCAGAAGCGGCTCAGAATCCAGAAATGCCAGCTGCCGCCCTGGAAAGATTTGGTTACATCGTCCAGACCATGCGCGCTTCGATGAAACCAGAAGCAACATTTAATGGAAACTCACCGGTAACCAGTTTTTTGGAAAAATTGGATGACCACTGCTGCACGAATTTCAAAAAAGTTACCTTAGCTACCAGCGCTTTGAGGGGCCAAGCGCTTAATTGGTTCAAATGTATAGGCAGAAGTCTCTTGGGTCAAGCAGGAAGTCCCACCTATACTTACGAGAATTTCAAGACTGCCCTAGTAAAAGCCTTCCCTGTCGTAAGGGATCGTGCGAAATTAGAAACGGAACTTTTCAGCATATATCAGCAAAGAATCGAAAATCTCTCAAGCTGTTATTTTAAGAAAAATTCACGTCTTCAAAATCTTGTATGGAAACCGTCCGGATCCTGAGATAATTCAAGTGATTTTGCCGAGGTTACTGCCCCCAAGTGCAAGACTTTATTGAATTAAGAAATCCGACTACACTGGAAAAGTTATTTGAGCTAGCAATCCAGTTTGAAAGTAGAAGAACGGCGGACATTGAAAGAAGACGCCAATATCAACAACGAAAACCAATTTGGTGCGCCAAGACTACAGCAAACTCAAGCACACGGCTACGGAAGCAAAGCGAATCAGTGGGCAAGGAAACCCGAGCATTCAAAAACAGCCGGCGAACGTCGACAGTTCAATAGCAATCCAGGAAAAAAGTCTCAAGGCCAGTGGAAAAAGAAGGAAAGCACGGAAATGAAAAATAATTTAAACTAAAACGGATTTCTGCTGACGGGAGGGTGCGGAAATCCGAAGGCCACGAAAACCCTCTTCCTTCAAGTTAAATACAGTAATGGTGAAAAATTTGACTCTTCCGAAGATTGAAGTGTTGGTGAATAATATCCCAGCCACCGCACTCCTGGATACAGGCGCGCAGTGTTCCTGTGTGGCAGAAGATTTTTTTAGGAAGTATTTTCGTAAATATCGTATATATAATTCGGATAATACGACAGTGTTAGCTGCGCAAGGAGAAAGATGTAAGTGTATAGGTAAATTACCGCTGTATGTCCGTATCAAGGACGAACAAGTAAAGGTTATGTTTTTCATAGTAAAGAATCTGCAAGCACATATTATCTTAGGAATAGATTTTCTTTCAGAGGCACAAGCAACGCTAGATTTTAATGAAGCGTCCCTTAAGCTGACAATGAAACCAGTTCGTGAAGAAAAGGCTGAACCGCCGATGTTAAACCTTGACCACCTGCCTAATGAAGAGCAACGAAGAATCCGACAAAGGGATCGGCACGGCAGCACATCCAGATGGAACAACGTCAACCAGGGCAAGCCGTTAGAGGCAGGAATTGAAAAGAAAGTTCCCCGTTGGAAAACTGAAGGTAACAAGAAAAAGAAGTCGTTCCACCGACCAGAAAAGAGAGCTCACGAACCACCCCCAGAATGAAGAAGGGAGAAGTACGACTAATGCAAAGAAAGCCAGGAGAAATGACAGCAACTATAACACGGCTCCAAAACAGAAGATCTACCATCGGATAGGAGTCTACGCAGCAAATGTCGACGAACTGATGAAGGAAGCCACCAGCTGCAGATGCAAAGACGCAAGGAAAAATTTGAACAGCCAGCAACGAGATCCAGGCAGGAACGCGAAAGACAGTTGTCCCGGTTCCGCCAAGACCACAGGCCGAGAGGCAGAAAAAAAGGTATTCAAGGGTGACCGAACTGGAGAAAAAGAAAGCTCATAGGAGGAAGGCACTGAAGGGCGAACCCGCACAAGAAGGAGGATCAATCAAACCGTAGTAGTCTTCGCTACCTTCCAGGACTGGGCTCAGAAAAAAAATGTCTGAATATCACAAAGATAAGTAAAATTTTATGTTACTTTGAAACTTAAGTTAATTTTTCAATCTTACTGCAAGTGGCAGAATTTCAAGAATTTTTACCTCATGTGAGGTCCTACCTTTATCGCCAAAAAGGCGAGAAAGGAGTTGTTACCTATTTTGGTATTATGTTTTTCAATTACTCGCGAGTAAAACTAAAAGTTGAATGTATAATAGGAATATGTAAAGACTTAAATATTGTAAAAGTTATTGTATAAAATTTTATTTAAAAGATTCTGGCAAGAAAGAAGTTTTAATCTGAAAGACTTTTGAAATGTAGAATTTCAATGCAGAAGAATTGGCACTTGCTTGGAAAAGAATAGAAGTTAACAATGTACTACTAATGTATGTTTTAAAATGCGTAAAATTAACGGCATGTTAATATGTCCTTATATACAATGTGAACTGTTATCTTAAAAGTTAAGAAATATTGTGATATGGTTAAAAGTGAAAGTAATGTTAAAAATTTTAACTTATTCGTGTGACTGTAAAAAGAGCAAATTATGGTGAATATGTGTTAAAGGTTGAATGAATGTAGTTAGGCTCTCTGACGCTACACTTCAGAGTTAGCCACTTTTCAGAATAGTACCTCAGGGTTTAGAGATGAATATAAGGGTGTGTTCTGAGGTCTTGTTATGTTGAATTTTAACACGTTAGTGTTTTGATTGCAGGCGGTAGTGTTGAACACTTGTACATAGACACGCTCGTGTTTGGTGTTTCTTTTTACAACACAAGTCAGAGAGCACGGGGAGAGATAATTAAAATAGTCATGAATGAAATAAGAATTTAAAGGAGAAATATAAATATTCATGTTACTTGCCATTTGATTGTGTAACATTTCATTAAACTAGTTTTTCCTTCCAGATCTCTGGAAGGAACCAGATTTCAACTAAGAAACTCCTGTTTATAGA